TGTCACCAGCAAAATGTATTATATATATAAAAATTGACTTGAAGCGTTTTTGTTTGAAGTATAAGCAAAACCTTAGTGGACTTATATTTCTATTTGAAAATGTTAATTGTTAGTAATATGTGTATTGTATATCGACCAATTAATTCATCAGCAAATTTTTAACATTCGTAAAAGTAAGCACTTCAAAATCTTTACAATACTTTTGCATTAATAGAAAGTGGTAATTACTCCTTGGAATGAAATGCTTAAATGCACGTTTCGAAAAGATTATTAAATGATTTTATTATTCATTGTTTGAGTAGTTAAGAGATCGAAATGAGAATGAAATAGTTTCCTACTTGTAGGCATCTTCTGAAACATTGATTTTTCCAGATTCACCGGTTGTTTCAGTTCTGCTCGTAAGATTCACTGTATTTCCAAAAAGACAGTAACGAGGCATACGTTTTCCAATAACTCCTGTAACGACCTCTCCACTGTGAATTCCAATGGTGACGCGCTGAAAAACAGGTAGTTCTATTTTAAAAAGTGTAATTCATTATAGTTGTTGAATGACTTTATATACAGCTAAAACATTTAAATCTTTCTTTGTTTATAACAGTCCATTCTTTTTTAGCAATTAAAATAAATAAATAAAAACTGATAAATAAATGAAAATTAATGCATAAAAATTGAAATTAAATAAATAAAAAAGGCTTGAAAATTAATATAAAATTGTCGTTTTAAATAATTGAGTTTTATGAGGCTAGAAATTTTATTTTTAAAAAAAAAGTTTTTCTTAAAATTTGTATTGTAAAAAAACTAAGAAATGTGTAATGCCTATAATGGCGTGATAACCTCATTATTTAAAACACCGACAATTTATAAACTCTGGATCAAAAATTTTCTTTTAATTCTTTAATGTCTAAGATACATTTCCTACTAATAATACTAATAATAATTGCTGTAAAGTTATCAGCAAAACTACTGCAGAAATTCTTGCCTTTAAAATGTTTGGGTGTGTTTGGGAAGTTGAAACACCTTAAAAGTTCTGAGACATGATGGCAAATGTCATACTATTAACTAATAAAATCTAAATCTAAGGAAATTTAAAAAGAAGAATAAGGTTATCAGTTGTAGTTTTATTATTATAAGGTTGCAGTTTTATTTCATATGAAAAGTTTTGCATATAAATACATAGTCAAATAATTACGTGATATTCTTCACAAGTTGAATAAGAAAAAAATATTATTTTTAGCCGAACTTAAAGTTAAGAAAGGTTAGTTTATCAGCCGTTAGCTTCACAGATTCTGAGACTTTTGAAATAAAAAAAATGCGTTAAATTTCGAAGATATATGGATTAGCGAAATCAAGGAATATTTAGATTATTCACAGAGCTTATCATTTTTGGCCTTAACTTTTCTTTAATGTATAGAAAAAGGTGTTAGTAAAATGACTAATGAAAGGATTATAATTGAAATTTAAACATTTACCATAACATAACACATTTTATGTACTATTTAAATTTCAACTATACTCTTAGTGAATAGAATAGGCATCTTAAGGTTATGCAATTTCCCCACTCTCTACACTGTTCCACTTTCTAGTACCTTTCTAGTTCTGGCAAATCTTGCTTTTTACCTGCCAAGTATATTCTAACTTCTTATTGAAACGTATTACCCTGGGTTAAAGACAAAATTTGTCGGAACCATGGTAACGAGCAGGTAGAAAGTGTGGAGAGTGGGGTAATCGCGGAAACTTAGAGACACCTATTCTATTTACAAAGATTATAAAGTTGCTAGTTTAAAATACAAAAAATTTAGCAAGTTACGTGCATAAGTTACGGACTTAAGAAATCAGAACCCAAAATACTATTTTTTTATTCGGGTTTTGATCATCGAAATTCAGGTAATATCCGTAATCTGAAAATTACGGTCTCAATAGTTTAACTGGAAAAGTGTACAAAATTTGAGCACGTTAATGCTATTTTAATTTTTAATTGTTTATTTATTTTACGTCTGTAGAACTAGCTCAAATGGAAAAAAAATCATTCAGCTAAAGATATATTTTTTAATGTCGTATATTTGTGATTTTTATAAAAATTCTGGTCCGATTTATTTCATATCTTTTTATTTTATCGTGTAAAACTACGTCATCTAACTCTTTTCAAGCAATATCGTCTTTTAAAAAAAAACAATAAGAATTTTTGAATTGTAATTTCTAGAAGTCTATTCGACCAAATCATTTAAATTTTAGATTTGTAATGAATTTTTTTTTTACTTAACAACCGAGCAGTTCGAAGCTACATTAATAAAGAATGTATTCCTCAATAGAAAATTTTATATAATCAAAATTTAAAGGTTATAAAAAACGACTATATCTAAATGTAAATCATATCGTTTATAATCCATCAATATTTAAAGATCATTGTTTCTTTAATTAGATTGCTCAAGTTTTAATATGCTGCTCCATTTTTAATATGTTATAAAAATTCAATAATATCAGGCAAGAAATCGACGAAATACCTCGGATTTATTTATTAATGTTCAACTTGCAATATTTTAAATTTCATTTCGCAATTATTAAATATTTAATTTTTTTAATTAGCTTTCATTATTCAACTGCAAAAATACTACAATGAAATCCAGTTGTAATATTCGTAAAAATTCTGGAATGCAATGCAAAATGTCGAAGTATCAAATTCTAGAAGACAAAAAATATGAGTGTATTTACGAAATTATTTGTTTAATACTACTTAATTAATTAATAACCTTAAAAATTTTCTGGATAATATGAGATTTCACATAATTGAAAAAAGGTTATATTATGAAATGATAGTTTGATTCATGCTGTTTTTAAATTTTTAAATAGAGAAAAAAAAGGAAAATTATGTAGAAATAAATAATTCCTATTTATGTTTTCTTTTTATTTATTGCCTATAAATGGACTGTAAGTATCAATGAACTAAATATGATTTATTTAAATAAAATGAAATCACATTTTTAGGATGGACATAAACTTTTATGTCAGCTACGCACATTTGCATCACTATGCATCATAGAATGAATTAATTTAAGAATTTTATTTTCAAGACATAAAAACCTTGAAACAATTATTTAATATTTTTTATTTTATTTTGAAAAGTGTTTATCATAACAACTTGAAGAAATTTGATTATATTATATTAATGGCTTACTTTTTTCTTTGTGTGTGAGAATATGCAAATGATATCGCAAAGCAACAAAGTAGTTTGAAACTATTCTTTGCAACTCAAGTTGTAATTGAAACTGTTTATTTCTCCTTTTATCTTTCGTAATTTATTCAAATTTATCTTTCATATGCTAATACTATTGATTCTAAAGAAGAGATTTTAAGAGTCATCTGCTTGCGATATATGCATATTAATTTGCTTATGAAAATGTCACCAGCAAAATGTATCACATTAACTTGAACTATTAATGTTTCGTAAAAAATATTCTATCTAATTTAAATTTTATAATTCAATAATATGAAAAAAATTAAATAAAATGCCAATATGTCAAAAACACAATTGGAAAATTTTGCAAACAAATATTTCGCTTCAGGGGTTTGTCTTAATGTAGCAGTTTTGCTCCAGAGCCCCGAAATGATTTAGTATCATTTTCTCATTTTTGTTAGCGTTTCTTTTTCTTTTGCTTTTCTTTTTTCAAGAACGCTTTCAATGTATGCATTTTTATTTGCTTACGTAAATGTTACTCGTAACAAGAGTAATGTATCACATTAATTTGAACTATTAATGTTTTTTAAAAAAATGTTTTATCTAATCTAAATTTTAAACTTCCCTAGTATGACAAAAAAAAATAAAAATAAATACCCTTATGTCAAAAACTGAATTGGAAAATTTTGCAAACAAATATTTCGGTTCAGGGGGTTTGTCTTAATTAGCAGTTCTTTTCCAGAACTAAGAAACGATTCAGTTATATGTATTTTCTTATTTTTTCTTAGCATTTCTTTATTTTTTCTTCTTTTCCTTGTGATCGCTCTCGATGTATAAATATTAGTATGCTTATATAAATGTTACTCATAACCAGCAAAATGTATCACATTGTTGCTTGAACTATTAATGTTTTGTAAAAAAATATTCTATCTAATGTAAATTTTAAATTTCTGTAGTATGAATGAAATATTAAATGCCAGTATGTCAAAACCTTAATAGGAAAATGTTTCAAACAAATATTTCGCTTCAGGTGGTTTGTCTAAATTTAGCAGTTCTGTTCCAGAACCTCGAAATAGTTTAGTAACATTTTCTCATTTTTTTGTCAGCTTTTTTAAAATTTTCTATTTTCTTCTTTCCTTCAAGCGCTTTTTCGATATATGCATATTAATTTGATTATGTAAATGTCACTCATAACATGCAAAATGTATCTCATTTACTTGAACTATTAATACTCTGTAAAACAGAAAATATTTTATGAAATTTAAGCTTTATATTTCAGTAGTATGATTGTGATATGTAGTATTTTAGTTTCTCCTTTCTTCTTTCCTTTAAGAGTGCTTTCGATATATGAATATTAATTTGCTTATGTAAATGTCACTCATAATCAGCAAAGTGGATCACATTTACAATTAAATGTTTTGTAAAAAAATAAATTTTATCTACTTCAAATTTTATATTTCAATAGTATGAAAAATAAATTAAATATAGTATGGCCCAGTATGTTAAAGAAACAATTGGAAAATTTTGCAAATGAGGAGGTTTGTTTTAACTAGTAGTTCTATTCCAGAACCTGGAAATGATTTAGCAACATTTTCTCATTTTTTGTTAGCTTTTTTTTTCTTTTCTTCGTTCCTTTAAGATCGCTCTCAATATATGCGTATTAGCTTATGTAAATGTCACTCATATCCAGAAAAATGTATCGCATTTATTTGAATTATGAATGTTTTGTAAAAGAAAATAATAAATCTAATCCAAATTTTATATTTCAACAGCATAAGAAAAGTCTCGTATATAGGAAAATTTTGTAAACAAATGTCTCGCTTCAGGGGATTTGTCTTATTTAGCTGTTTTGTTCCCAAACACCGAAATAATTTAGTTGCATTTCCTCATTTTTGTTAGCTATTTTCAATTCTTTTCCTTCCTGTGTCAGATATAGTTTTTAACACCTTTTTTGTTTGTTCTGAGTTTACATCGTAAATCTTTATTTTGAATTTTGCGTGCAGCATAACCGCACCAGGCTTTAGCAAAAAAGGAAAAAAAACTATTTATTTAAATTAATAATCAAATAAAGAATTTTTTTAGTCCTTTAATATGAATAACAATGGAGAAAGGAGTAAATTTTATGAAAAGCGAAATATTTCTTTATTTTAATATCTAACAGTGAAGTAACTTAATATACCGAAATAAGAAAAATTGAGCAATGACGACAGTTACTTTCCATATTACTTTCATTTGTTTTTAATTAGCGGAGGATTTTTTGGTTGTATTTCTTTCCAGGTGCTTTTGTCTTGCATTTTCTAAGAATCGAATGCACACGTAGTGAAGCATTGTTTCAAACTTCGACAAATATCAGCACCAGTATCTTTTTACGAAAAAAGATCAAGATTGAAAACGTAGTTTCTCCATGCTCTATCGAAAATAAAGCATTTTCGCAACAGCCCGTTGTTGGTCAATTGGAGTCATAGAAGTTTTAACTCCACACAATTTCGTAACCAACTGTATGACAGTGTTGATGTAGTCAGAATTGTGCATAAGTCGCCTTTACTTCCCAAATAAGCTGTTACAGACTGATTTTGAAGCAAGGTGGCGAAGCATATTGATTTAAAGAGAATCGAATTCCAGTCTTATATAATGACAGCTTAGTGCCCTTAACTTCTCAGCTATCACAGTATTTAATTCTATTTGTCGCTACTTCTTTCAAAATCAAGAGTAACTTTTAAATCTTATAAAAAAGACTAAAAGGCTATTTATTTTCTTGCTACTTAAACCACAATGAGTTTTTGCAGTTTGAATTTTATATTTCAGATTAAAACAAACTGTTACTAATTTTTTCCTATTCTAAAATCTGTGTTAGAAGTCCGGTATTCTAGAAGTGTAATCCACGGCACGCTGGGGTACCCCTTAGAAAGACGAGAGGCAAGCCGTGATGGCTTCAAGAACTCTATTCCTTGTATAGTTATTGATCTATCTTTAAAAAATAAACATTCCTCTCTATAAATGACAAATTTGTTTTTTTAAATGCTTATCCAATTCATACTTACATAAGCTGCTGTTTTAAAAAATAAATTAAACAATAAAATAATGTCAAAAAAGTAATGTGACTGACTTTATTAAGCCTTTTTCTAATATTGTTATTAATATGTCGTGAACAGTACACTCACGTTTCATTTAACAGTACATTCACATTACACTTAACAATACATTCACATCTCACTTAACGGTACACCACCACTCATAAATCTTCTAGAGCACATAGAAGGTCAATTTATATTTTTGCGTATTTTTATTCCCTACGAATTTCTATTTATTACTAGTCAAGTTGTTGCGTAAAGTTACTGTTGGGTTAGTTTCATGAAAAAGTTCAGGAACCCTGAATTTAAAGGATTTATCTGTATTAAAATGAGATCTTTATTATTAAAATGATAATGATTTATTAAAATGAAATGAATGAAATTTTAAATTGCTAAAATTTGTAGTGTATAATAATAACCTTTAACATAATATTATTGAGCTCATATATTAAGTTTTCTAAAATGCTTACAATTGAATCACCATCTTCCGTTACAACGTCCTTTGATAAGTCCATTATATCGAGAGCAAGACGTGCGATACATTTTGCATGACTTTCACAAGGTTCAGGCAATCCACTAACTGCCATATATTTATCTCCTATAGTTTCAACCTATATTAAAATAAATCATTATTAGTTACTAAAATCTGTCTTTGTTTTCTATGTCCCATTTAAATCCTATTTGTTTGATCCAATCCTAATAGTCTAAATCCCATTTGTTTGATTTTGCAGTGACAAATTTATTTCGATTGTTATTGTGATGAAGAATAAATATAGGAACTCTATATTTGATTGCTTAGAAGATCTGCATTTTATTTTACGCGTGATTTATTCTACAAAGCAGAAAATTTAAGCAGAGTAATAAACTCACACTGCAGTAAAATACATGCACTTTGCGAACACTTTTTTTGAAAAAAATTCTTTTTAACCCTTTGCGAAGATGGGACAAAGGTGTCCTTCATAAATATTTTTTTCTTTCTGAATCTGTAATTACAAGAAAAGCTATATTTTGGTATTTTTTAATTAGAAAAAATAGTCTAATAGATAATAATTGATCTAATAGTTACTAAAAAAATCTGTTCGATTATTGGAGCTATTTATATTTTAGAGTGGATTTCTTATATTTTTGGATTTTATATTTTTTCATTCGTATTCACAAATTTATCAATAATTGATTTTTTAAAATTTCAATGATGAATAACTGTTTTTCTTAGATCTAAATACTTGATCTAAATACGTGATCCTTGTTTGGAAGATTTTACCCTTTACGCAGAAAAGACACTGGTGTTTCATGGCTCATTTTATAGCCATAAATTATTAATATCCTAAATATAACATTTTTCACTCATTTTGACCCAAATTAATACAAAATAATGAAAAAAACAATGAAAAGTACGTTTAATAAAAATTCTCCGTCAAGGGTTAATGCAATTTTCACGCTTAAGAGATTTATTTCTTCTATTCATATTTCAATAGTTTTATTGCTAACCATTAACTAAATCCTTAAATACATAAATCCTATATCAAAATACTAGAAATTAATTTAAAAACATATATAAAACTTTTTATCAAGCAGGGTTCATAGGGATAAATATGAGAAAAATCTAAAGTTTTAAAGATTTTTTTTTTAATTTGCTGAATCGGAAACATAATTTTGAATTCATTCATTCTATAATTCTTAATTTGTTTCTTCATCCTGTCTATGGATAAAAAAAAATCTTGAATGATGCCTTCAAAAATCTATTTTTTAAATCGGTATTCTGAAATTCTTATTTAGCGTAAATAGTAATAGCAAGGGAAAGTAAAAGTTGATAAACCGCTTTTCTCAAAATCTATTATGAAGCACGTTGTTCTTTCAATTGCATGGCAGTATTTTCCCATTTAGTGGATCCGTGGGACTAAGGTTTACGATAGTTCAAGATTTCTTTTTCCCTTCTCGCTTTCCCTGTGTTTGTTTTAGTTTTTAGTACATTGTTTGAAATGCAAATTTATTTTTTTTTTCACTCAGAACTTTGCAATTTTGAAGATTTACATTGTTTTCAACTTTATTTTACAAACTTTTTTAAACCCAATGCTTAGTTTTTTTAAAATTTTATTTTTAACACTGATTTTTTAGCGTAGATAAAAATAGCAAGGGAAAGTAAATAGTTGATAAAACGCTTTTCTCGAAATCTATTATGAAGCACGTTGTTCTTTAAATTGCAAGCCAGTATTTTTCCATTTAGTGGGTCCGTGGGACATATGTTTGCAATAGTTCAATGCGAAATATTTCCTTTTCCCTTCTCACTTTCCCTATGTTTTTTTTAGTTTATAGTACATTGTTTGAAGTTACTATAACTTTCTTACACCTAATGTTTATTTTTCTTAAAATTTTATTTTTAACATTGAATTTTTTTTTCTCAATAAGCTAAAGATAATTGAAATAAAAAGGTTTCTCATTTTAAATATGCTGTTTCAGAATTTTTCTTCCTTTTTAACTAATAAAATTCAAACTAATAAAATTTATAATAATTTTAAGTGATTTCTTTTGTAGATCATTCATATCTTGATAACGGTATAGTATAATGTGAAAAGTGGGTCATTAAGTTATAGAGCGCTATCCATTTTTTACGAAAAGGCACTTTGTGAACATTTACGCTATAAAAACGCTTTAGAGACTATATCATTGAAAATTAAGGTGTGTTGTNAAGGGACCACCGAAAAACGTCGTATAAACGATAACGTCGTACAATAGATTTTTACTTCTAAAACTGAAACTAACTCTGTTTTCAGTTAATTTTAATGTTTAGCGTGTTGATTTACATAAATTTCTAAATTAGACAAAGCAAAACAGACAAATAACCAAAGAAGAAAAATTGCAGTGAACAATTTGAATGTATGTTACTTTTAATTATATTTTCTTGCTATTAGTTTCTACAATGCTTTGAATAGCGAGTTGAACTTACTGCTCTCTATGATGCAATTTTCTAATCACGGCCAAATCTAATGGCTGAAGCGCACTTGTGCAATTTGCAGGAAAAAAGAGAGCTTTTACATTTTCCAAAATAATTAGTATCGATGGGTCTAGTTTAATTAGTATCGACATTGTCTAGTTTTTTCAGTCATCTAGTAAAAATTACGGTCGTCATCCAAGCATTCCTGCTGGTACCCTTTTCTGTATCATTCATGTTGGCAAATTCCGCCCTTTTTTAAAATACACAAGAGAAAATAAATTAAATAAACGTGAACAAAATCTAAAAACCGACGTATAACCGATTCTGTGCGTCGTATAAGCGATATATTTTTATATTAAAATGAATAGGAATGATTTGGGACCACACTACAACGTCGTATAAATGTAAACGTCGTATAAGTGATCGTCGTATAAACGATGCGCCACTGTAGTATAATGTGAAAAGTGGGTCATTAAGTTATAGAGCACTATCCATTTTTTACGAAAAGGCACTTTGTGAACATTTACGCTATAAAAACGCTTTAGAGACTATATCATTGAAAATTAAGGTGTGCTGTTTTAATGTTTTTCTCCTAAGATCGTTTTGTCACATCCCAATGTAATAAATTGCTAATAGATGCTTGCTTATAGTAGCCAGTTCTTAATATTATTGCATTCATATTAAATCGCTGATGCTCTACAACTGAAGTAAAGAGAGGGGCAATTCAGAGGGCCATCTATATATCAGTCATAAAAATCTGCTCTTTTTTGTTTTATAACTTAATACTATATTATGGTTCATGAATGCAGTCGATGATATTTGACTCCCTAGTTTTGCACCAGATGGTGCTGTAACAGGTATCATTAAGTAATCAATGGCCACTTTACTACGGCTAGACATCACTCTTCTGATTATACAGTCAACCGTTCCGAAGTTAAGAGAGAGGGAGTGTGAATTTAGTGGGTAATCAATATATTACCATATTATAAAAATTACCATATTATAAAATATTATAAAAATTGCTCTTCCCGTTTTATTAGTTATCACTTTAATATGGTTTATAAATGCAGTAGATGATGTTCTACTTCCTAGTTTTGCATCAGATGGCGCTGTAAGAGGTGTCATTAAGTAGCCAATAGCCACTTTAGTATGCTTAGACACCATTCTTCTGATTACAGCTACCACCTTCCGGAAGTTGAGAGATAGTGAGAATTTAGTGGGCAACCCATACATAACTCTAAAAATTCTTTCCGTTTTATTAGTTATCTCTTTAATATCGTTTATAAATGCAGATGAGATTTTTTAAAATTATGTAATAGGTTTTTATTAATAAACAAATTCACAAATGGAGTTTATAAACTTAGTTCAGAATTTCGTTATCAAAAGCTTATAGGTAATTTTCAACAATAGCAATTTTGTTCGTTAAATATAATTTCTAAAACTATTATTATAGCTTTGCTTGTAGTGTAACGAAAGTTCTTTTAGATCTTCAAAGAAAATGCTACTGCATATCAGTGAAAGTTTCTCTGTTGTTAATCAGATAATACGCATTATTTAGTGGTTTTATTGTGTCACAACTTCTGTCTATTTATTCCTCATTACCTGCTTCTTTGCGTGGGAGTACAAATCATTAAAGCAGCTCTATTCATCTATTCTTGCTTGCTTGTTATTTTTTATGGCCACATAAGTAAGAAAAATATGCGAATTGAAGGTAGCTTAAGAAGATTTTATTTTTTTAGATATTCCTGTTAGGGATAATTGGAAAAATTTAATTGTTTTTACCCTTTGAATGACAGGAATTTACAGAAATAGATAAAAAAACTTAAAATTGTAGCGACATATCTTTATTCTAAGACAGTTCTATTAATACTTAAAAAAACAGATATTAAATAGATCAACGAATTAACACATATCTTAAAGCTAGTTCACTTAACATAAGGCTAATAAAAATGTAATAGTATAATCAAAATCTCAATGACCTTTAAATGATCGTCTAAAAGTCAATGAAGTTTTTACATGTACTATTTTATGATATTTGATATTATTACAATTTAAACAAGGAATTACGAAAGGACATATAATTGCACGGTTTGCTGTGTTGTGTTTGGGAAACGAAATCTTTTTTTTCTCTCCCACAATTCCGAAAATTGTTAATAAACATGTCAACAAATGGTGCTGCTGAATAAAAAACCTAGAAAGCAGTATTTTTTGCTCGATGTCTGATCATCCCAATTTAAACATTTGAACGAGTAAGTTACGTCGACAGTCTGCACCGTGGTACTGCTGCAAATGAAGATTATTTAGAATTATTTAGTTTTTTTTTCGGTTAGCAGTGTTATTTGCTGACGAACTTTGTAACTAGTTTTTTTAAAATTTTGATGTCAACAAATTTCTAGTTATTTAAGCAGAATGCAGCAATTGATACATTTCTATATCCTCCTGTTTATCTATGATTTTGCAAGTCATCGGTAGTTTTTGGATAAAGCGGTATTTGTACTGTAAAAAAATCTGAAGTACGTGGTTACTTCCTGGTTCCATGGTTTTATTTTAGAAAAATATTATATTGGTTTTGTTAACATGTTTTAGAAAAATATCAAAAATCATGCTAAATATGAGAGAATAGTGCATAAAAGTCTAAATATTCATAAGTAATATCGAAAATAGATTTCCTAGAAATTTCCAACATCAAATGGGAAAATATATGAAATTGCCTTCTTAGAGTACTTATTGGGTAAAAAAAGTGGTTTCGCAACACATAAAACATTTCCCAGCCCTTTTAGGTACGTAAGATACAGTTTATAACACCGTTTGATTTTGTTACCTTGAATACGCTTCATTGATATATACTGCTTGACAATAACTGAGGAGAAACTGATTTCTGCAAGGTAATATCCCAAACAGCTCACCAATAACCGTAAAATAAAGCGCAGAGGGCGTGGTAGAGCAGGACCTGTTATTTGTATAAAGAGCAATATATACAAGTTCCTCATTCATTCGAAAATTCATGATGTTAGCTGCTTAACCAATATAGCACCCCATAGGTTGTTGAACTTATTTCAGTGAAATTCAAGGTGGTGTTGGAATAGAGTGGAGAAGTGGTTGAAAGATTTGGGAATTAATAGATGGAGAAATATAGCATCGAATGGGGTAACTGATGGGGTAAACTAGATGGGGTAAACTGACTGAGATGGCCTTGGCCGGTAACCGACTGTATTGTCTAATAAGAAGGAATTGCAATGATTAAATGCAAAATATCAGCAAGACATCATTTGAGTGCTTACGATCCGAAGGCGATTAGTTGGACCATTGGACGCAGGTTAAAGTGTCACCACTGTGACCACAGTATTGGAAATTTCAAAAAGTCTCATCTCTCGATTAAGAAAAGGTCACTGAAGCTGGAAATGCTATGCAAAAGCCTGCCGATGTGGTAGGAACACCACCCATGTATTGCTAGTGGTAAAAAGAAACAGAAATGTCACTCCTAGTTAGATAGCTGCAGACTTTGCTACCACTACCGGTACTCAGGTTTCAAACAGAACAAACTCATGGCGATTGAACAAAGTTGGTCCGTATGCACGGAAAACTGTTCAATGCATCTCGCTTCAACCACGCCATCGATTACGCTGCTGTAAGGAACATATTGGTTGGAGTGACCAACAGTGGTTCAGAGTGATGTTCTACGATGAATCCCGTTTCACTGTGACATGTTATTCTCTCACCAGTTAGTTTAGAGAGAGGAGGGAACACGTTATGCGCTGCATTATGTTCATAAATAGGATCGGTTTGGCTCAGGCGTGCTGGTATGCGACGGCATTATACACAACCAACGGCAGAACATCACGCTTCACAATTTTGAGTGAGGTGGCACTACATCCCAACGGTATTGTAGAGATATTATTCTGGATCATGCTCGTCTTTTTAGGTGTGTTGTAGGTCCAGAATTTCTGTTTATAACTGACAATGAGCAGCCACACAGCGCGGAGGTATCTGACACTCTAGAAAGTGAAGGTATTGCCTGTGTGCCATGGCCTGCGTACTCCCCGGACCTAAATTCCATAGAATCTGCCTGTGATGCCCTTGGCAGTCGTGATTCTCAAACAACAAGCCCTCCCCGAGCTGTGTAAGAGTTGATAACCGCCTTGAGAGAAGAGTGGGATAATTTCCTCCAAAAGCACCCTGATAGTTTTGTAGACATCTTAAATAACAAATGAAAAACATGCATTAGTGTCCGAGGTACTCATACATCTTACTAAGACAATCATACCTGTTTTATTCTGGCAAGAAAACCCATTTTTTGTAGCTGTTCAGAAATCGTCTAAGGAGCATATTTATTTAATTCTTCTTATTTTTCGATTTGAAAATATGTGTACCATTTTGCAATATAATAAATGCACATTTTCTCCGCTAAATATGTAATTAGTTTCATTTCTTCAATCAATGTATATAATTAATAATTTCGAAAAGTGTAAGTGTTTCTTGGCAATTTTCAAGATGAGTATATGTAGTTATTAGAAATGTTGATTATTATGTAGTCTACATGGGAATAATATTAACAAAAAATAGACTGTTTTTGTATTACTGAGCATTAAAAATTCATGTACTCTGTCAATATTATGTATATATAGACGAATGAAATGTGTGATAAAAAGGCTCTACCAATATAATTTTCAATAAGCAGCGTAGTGAAATGCATGAAACTGCATGCTTTTTTAAAATTTTTTTAGAAAACTCAGTATTTTTTTGCACCTATTATTTTATTATCATAGCTGATTATAAGATATCTCACAGTTATAGCTGACATGCGTAACACAGTGTTGTAAGCAGCAGCAAGCTGGGGGCTCTGTCCTATGCCACAATATAAATTTCCTCACTGGTGACTATGAACTTACGAGTGCATTGCACAAACTTCATTTCATCTCAATATTGCAGAAGCTCATATAACTGCGATGGGACAAAATGACTCAGTAGATGTTAGCAGTACTCATTTCTCCATCTTAATTACTAGATGGCAGCACCAGATTAATGGAGTGAAAAATGAGAATAGTTCAAATAATCTGAAGAGTGTTTGAAAAAATGCCATATTATTATCATTTCAGCATAGAATTTAATTTGAAAGGAAAAAAAAACAAAAGTTACTTTTATCGAAGTAATTTTGGTTCGAAGCTATTCTGAATACACTACATGCTGTAAAATATGTGGTTTTGTCTCAATAATAAGATCCCAGATATAACAGTGAATATGTAACATTTCAATTCATCAAACAAGCATAAAGAACTAAGCTTGTTTATTTCACTAGTTTTAGCCAACTTAAATGTTCTAAAAAAAAGACGCGATTTTTTCAAATTTTTCTTAATTTTAAGTACGATGCTCGAACGGAAGATGTAAGCCAGTTTGAAAGATTTTTATGCCATTTTTATTATTATTACAATAGGCAATTATCCCGCACCGTAGCGTTCCGAAATTAAAAAAAAATATATTTCTCGACTCATTCTAGTTTACAATCGCATTACGGTCTGTTCTCGAGCGAGCAAAGTTCTTTAAGGCTAGCATATAAGTTCACCATCATCCCATTGGTTTTACCAATTTCTGGATAAGTGTAGTTTAAAGCATTTTGTCACAACGAAATTTTTTTTACTATTGTGTTTAGCACAGCAAGGTCTAGTTGTTATGCTATTCTAATCTGCGTGCAAACCAGTGAATCGATTGCGCTGGTGTAAGTTTGTTTTTATTAACTACTTCCTAGATGATCATCACATTATTAAATTAAATTTTAGTTTATTTAAAATAATAAAGTGATAAATTTCATAAAAACAATGTTTTTTTAACTTATGAAATTAGTGCATAAAGGTGCTGCAGTATAACAAATGCAATAGATCCCAAAAATTTGTAAGTTTTTTAAAATTTTTTTCATGAATGATTTTACCTTGTATACGTTTGGATTCTTTACTGGATCAGTAAGTACATCAAAAGTAGTGTATATGTTGTTAAGAAGGTGTACAATTTTTCTTGCGCCTATAGAATCCGAATGATTTGCACAATATTGACTGAATCCAACGATTCCACTGAAAAGGATAGTCACCAATTCATATTTTCTGGCTGGTACTGGTCTATTATGTCGCAAATCATTTGCAACTGAAGGTGGTAGTATAGAATACAACAACCTGAAAGAATTTTAAAGTCATAAAATTAACATTTTACAGAATAATAAAATTAATTTAAAAAAGTTATCGAAGCCATCTTACTTTATTACTCTTACTAGTTCATGACAGTTAATAATGACAGTAATTTTCTTATAATTGAATATTATTTTCATTGGTTGTTCTTGTCGTAGGCCATTAAGGAGTGCGATTGTTCTTATTTTCCAGTAGCGCCATCTATGGTCGAGAATTTGATTTCTGCTACACTCGTTTATAGCGTGAACCCATTCATTCATCCACAGATAGTAATTTCGACCTGAACTAGAGAACGATCAATCTCCAATACAGCACCCCAAGAGGTATAATTTGCTATGGGAACATGGATGACTTTGTGACCCGACCGTTTTAATGTGCATCAGTCGCCATTTACTACACGGGGAGTCTTCGGCCGGCTGAATTTGAACTCCAGTTCTCACGAACGTGAGTCCAGCGCCCTGCCAACCGTTCTATATGATCCTATTTAAATTAGTTAAATCGTTAATTGTTATATTATTTTAGATTTAATATTTAAGAGCATTAATGTATATTTTACTATCATATTGTGCCTTTTTTTAAACTTTTATTTATACATATACGTGAAACGGAACCAAAGCTGAAATTTTTAGACAAATGTTTTGTAAACTGAAGAAAACAAAAGAAAAAATAACGGAACACCAAATAATTCAAGATGAACTTAATGATTAAAGTAGTAGAATTATAATATATCAATCATTTAACGTCGTAATCTCATTAATTACGAAATCAGACACAAAAGGGTACTTTCTCTTAATAAACATAGCTTTTCTTTTGCGAATCTTAATATGCAGGGTATAGCTTCAATATAGAAAATCTTACAGAGAGCTTGTAACTTCACTGTTTTTTTCTCTTATTTGTTATAAAATTGCTAATATCCTCTCCCATTTTGGTTTTCAAGCCATTTTTAGGCCTGTTAGAAAAATCAAATGCAAATCTATTAAAGTTCCTTTCAGCTTTGGTAATCGCTGGTTCATTCACTAGATTCCTTGTCAGTGCGACCTTGGCTGCACCGGACAAACTAGGTGCTACTTTAAAATTTAGACTTAAGGAGCACGATGGATATGTCAGCTATCAAGAATACGAGAAATCATCAATTGCCGCACATTGTTGGAATCTTGGTCACAAATTCAATTTCGACAATGCCAAAATTATTTTCACCCCAGTCACATCAGGTCATCTTGATTCCCTAGAATCTTGTTTTATTCATATGAATGCTGATTCTCATGTTAACAACATTAGTTCCTCACCACATCTCCATAGCACGTGGAAATGCATTTTACACCAATTTACCCCTCTCGGCCACTGTGGTTTTTCTTGCTCTGCTTTTTTTCTGTCTTTTTCTCTCTCGGCTACTGTGGTTCTACTAGTTTTTTTCTCACCTTCATTTTTCCTTTTTTTCGTCGGCAACTTTTCATTTTATATTTTAATTCACTTTTGTTTCTTCTCATTCAAGTCTGGAAAATGAGCTCCTGCTTTTGAGTGCCTGAAACATGACGACTATTATTTTCTATTTATATATTTTTGAAGCGAATTAAGTTTTCAATCAGGTAATCTTGCCCAAATCGGTAGGAAGAAGGATGATATTGCAGTTTATAATTTTCATTTCTTATAAACTATTTGACTAATTCTATTCATGTTTTGGATTTTGTATACCTAAAAATTTAAGACATTTTCACGTTTATCAAATTAAGTAATAAAAATAATGTAATGTATAACAACAATAATGTATAAATGTTTATAACAATTTTTATTATATACAATTTAGAATAGTAAAAAAGTCCAGATTTTTGTTCTACCTTTATCCAACCTGAACTTACCGTCTTTAAACGTGAAATGCGTTAAAAAGTAAGTAAACTGCTTTAAATTTCGCTATATTTAAAGCATACATATTGCTTGTTTTTAAAAATTCTAAATGGCTCATAGCAAAATGTTTTTATTAAAAAACGTTTGTAAATAAATTGTACTAATATAAAAGGCGTAGATTTCTTCATTCTTTATAAATTGCTGTAATCATGATGCAATTCAGCAAATATATTTAAAGCTTAAATATTGCTTGTTTTAAAAAGTTCTAAATATTTGATAACAAATTGTTTTTATTAAAAAAACGCATGTAAATAAATTGCATTAATATAAAAGGCGTAGATTTCTTCATTCTTTATAAATTGCTGTAATCATGATGCAATTCAGCAAATAATTTCGCAATATTTAAAGCTTAAATATTGCTTGTTTTAAAAAGTTCTAAATATTTGATAACAAAATGTTTTTATTAAAAAAACGCATGTAAATAAATTGTATTAATATAAAAGGCGTAGATTTCTTCATTCTTTATAAATTGCTGTAATCATGATGCAATTCAGCAAATAATTTCGTACTCCAAAACAATCATTAGTAATGGCACGTATTTCATATGAAGCATTATTAATATCACCATAGAATACATTTCGGGTAAGGGAAATTTCAAACCATCCATAATTACCATTTAAGAAGATGTTTTCTTGAGAGCGCTGATAATCTTCAACGATATTAACTGCATGCGTTTCTCTAAATGGAACGACGCAATTAAGATGATGCAGTCTGATTGGGGTGTTTCGATTCTTTACACGATGACAATAAGATGGGAATAATTATGAAACATAAATTATCTTGGAATTACAAAATGGCTAAGTATAAGAGATATGGTGAATGATTTTTTTTACTTGGATTTGTATAAAAAAGAAAGTTATGAATATATTCAAATTGCTCAACAATTATATTCAAATTGCGCAATAATTATATTCAAATTCCTCATCAATCATATTAACATCTTTCCGCAATTTAAACATTGTTTGTTTAAACATTCTAGAAGCATAACAGAGAAATATCTTGTTTATTAAAGAATATGCGGAGATAAATTATAAATTTAAAGGTTGTAGATTTCTTTATTTATTATGATGTAATCGAGATAGAATGCGGCAAACAATATCTTAAGTCAAAACAGTTTGCAATAACTTTTATTTCCTGCGGAGACATTATAAATATTAAGAGTATTATTAATATTATAAATACGGAGCATAATTTCATGTAAGTGAAATTTCAAACTATTTGTAATTAGCATTTAAGAAGATGTTTTCAAGATGTCTCAAGTAATGCAATTTTTTTTATCGATAATTCTTGCTCATAAAAAATTGTTAACTGTTAGAAAAAAAACAGTTAAGCGTTAAACCATGAAAATTTACTGCAAACTAAAAAAAACGTAAACTTGAAATGATTTCCTCCCAAATAAAACTAAAGTATCAGATAATAAGTCATGGTCGTTCAGGGGATACTTCGTTTGCCTCCTAATGAGGTGACCCGGGATTGAATCCCAGCTATGGCTGGTCGATAAGAATTGTGCACCGATTACAGTGCTGACGTAAAATATCCTCAGTTAGAGATGGATCATGGGTTAGAGTTCCCTTGTCGTCAGGGTAATTGTGGGAATCGTTCGAGGTTTTTCTCCCCATGTAACGCAAGGGCGAGTTAGTTCCATCAAAAAGTCCTCTACAAAGGTAATTTCATCTAATATTAAATCCCGGAGTTCCCTTGTTTTATGGCTTGGGTTCAAAATTATAAAGCTGCAGAGTTGAACATTGGTAGTCGTAAACTCAAAAATTGGGTAGGCTGTTCAACAGTGGTTATAAAATGAAATAAGTATATGATGCATTAATTTGTGCAGTTATTTCGTCCAGTAATGTAAAAAACTAAGGTTGCAACAATATTATGTGCAAAAGAATAAAAATGAAGAAGTATAAAAACAAAACAAAAAAATATAAAAACGAAAAAAGTATAAAAAAAATATAAAAACGAAAAAAGTATAAAAGCGAAACGGAAAAAGTATAATATTTTTCAGAGTTAATTTTATTTGATAAGTTGGTGCTCAAATCTAAACGAAGATTTGGCAATCTTCTCTTTCTTCAAACGTGCAAATGGTTTCGGTACTGAATAAAACACGTATGTGTTAAAATATAATACAAAATATACAAATTTGCTAATACATTTTAAATATACAAATTTCATGAATTTAAGTAAACAAATTTTCATGAAACACCTAAAAAAACGATGTTTCCTAAATTCGTCAAAAATATTTTGATTTTTAATGAACTTAAAGATTTTTTTAAAAAAAAGTTTTAACGTTAAAAAATTCTTAGTTAAAAAATAGAAATAATAGCTTTCTAAATTTTTTGTCTCTTATTTGTACGAAGTGTTATTTCAGAAAGAGCAAAAATATAAAGTTTTTAAAGATGATTATCTAATTTTATATTAGTTGACACAATATTAGCAGCTCCCCCCATAATACGGCTCGAATAAAATACAACATTAATAAGATGCTAAATTAAATTACATTTCTGTTCAATTTCAATCATTGTATCGTATAATCATGTTAAGTTTGAGAAGTACACTGATATGGTTCTAATTGGCGTCATATTAAGTTAGCGACTAATTAGAATCATATTAAATTTTATTAAACTCTAAATGAATAAATGAAAAATAGAGCTTCTCGCTTAGTGAGTGAATGGTAAAAACTTTCTCAAATTCCTCCAGAACTTTTTAAAATTTTAAACTTAAAAAAAAAGTAAAAGAAAAATTCTATTATACATATAATTAATTTTATGAATTTTCTTAAAATAAAGCATTGAAACTAAGTTTTTGAAGAATTCCTATATAGCAAAAATATTTTCGTTTTTCGGAAAGTTTCCACTGATTTAAAGTAAGAACAATGCTTAAAACGAACCCCATAAGTTAAAAATGATTTTTTCTATTTCTTTTACAAATTATCTAGTAATGCCATTAAAATGAAAGTTAACAGAAGTATTTTTTTTATATCAAAAGCGAGCTGTGTAACGAAGTAAGTTGATTTTAAAGATATCGTTCACGCAATAAAATGATCACGCAATAAAACGATTTTTGAGATAAATCATCGACTTAGAAGT